CCCTTGACAGGAGCTGAGAATATATATAATTATTTGAAGCTATTATATATTTGGTAATGCTTTCACATGAATTTGTCACTCTGTCAATTTTGAGCATCTTATATGGTCTAAGATCCATATTTGGCTGGAGCCATGTATTTAATTCAAGGTGAAAATGATTTGGGCAAAAAGGTTTTAATAATGCTTTGACATAATTCCTTGGCATATTCAGTGTCTTCAACCTAGTTTAGGGTGATGACTTGTTAATCTATATATATAAAAGGCTAGGTGACCGACCATCCATCTCTCTGACCAACCTACTGACCAGCCGTACATATGATGCCCACTGGCAATTTAAAAATAAACATTGACTCGCGCATGCATGATACATATATAACTCTTGCTGGCGCCAATTGCACATGTGTTTTAATTTTATAATACTACTAGTGGCCTGGTGCATGAAATTCATGCACTCGTGGGGGGGTCCTTCAGCTCTCGTGCAGTCTGGGAGCCCTCGGGGGATGTCTGACTGACTGCTTAGGCCCGCTTCCTGCGGGGAGCTGGCCTAAGCTGTCAGTCAGACGGCCTAAGCTGTCAGTCGGACATCCTTAGCACTGCTGCAGAGGTGGGAGAGGCTCCCGCCACCGCCGCTGTGCTCACCAGCCTGAGCAGCACTCCCCCTGTGGGAGCGCACTGACCACCAGGGGACAGCTCCTGAGTTGATCGTATGCCCCCTGGTGGTCAGTGTGCCTCATAGCGTCGGGTGGTTCCATGGTTCTGTTGATTTGTATATTTGCCTTTTATTATATAGGATATTATATATACTATTTTGATGTGTAATTTTTTGCAGTAACATAATTACCCCACGAATCTTTCTTCTAATTAATTTCCTTTCAATGTGCATGAATCCATGCACCGGGCCACTAATATTTATACAAAACTTTAGTAAACTTCACTGTCCTAGGCTTACAAAGTCCTTTTGTGAACATTATTTGATTGGATTTATATCCTCAAGTATTGACATGTTTTTTAAAAAAGAGGGACCTTTATATTTGTCAAGAAGCTACTTAGTGTAAATAATGGGGGAACAGCCTGGCCAGCATGGCTCAGTGATTGAGCATTGATTTATGAACCAGGAGGTCATGGTTCCATTCCCAGTCAGGGCACATACCTGGATTGCAGGCTTGATCCCCAGTGTGGGGCCTGCAGGAGGCAGCTGGTTGATGATTCTTTCTCATCATTGATGTTTCTCTCTCTCCCTCTCCCTTCCTCTCTGAAATCAATACAAATATATTTTAAAAATAAAGTAAAGGGAGGGGGAAGTTTTGATCAGGAAAATAAATTCATGATTAAATGTGTCTCCAGGTAAGAGATCAACCGAAGGACTTGTATGCATGCATATGAGCATAACCAATGGACATAAGACACTGGGGGTAGGAGAGGCCAGGGGATTGTCAAGGGTGGGGGAAAAAAAAAGGACACATATGTAATACCCTTTGTAATACTTTAAGCAATAAAAAAAAGAAAATAAAAAGAAAAAAAAGATAAAGTAAAGGGAGGGGGAAGTTGTGATCAGGAAAATAAATTCGTGATTAAATGTGTCTCCTTTCAACCAACTTGTTTTCCCATTCATGGTGCAGGGGAATTGTCCCAGAGCAGAAAGTTGTCTTGGTTATAGTTTTTGTTCTGCTTTTTCAAATGGGTGAAGGTGTTGTTCTGGTTGGAGCTGGGGAGAAGACCTCCACCTTATCTCCTTTATTCTGTTTTGGGAATATTTTGAACCCCAGAGTTCTCCTTATGCGTACTTAATTTCAGGATCTATTTCCCAAGGATTTACATTTTCTCTTGGGCGAGGAGTGGGGTGGGGCAGGTGATCAGAAAGGATCAAACCAGCTGGGCAAGCACTGGGGCCCAGCCCTATCTCTAAGAGGCTGGGCGCTAGCATGTTCTTACTTCCAGGAAGGAATTTTTGCAATCTTGGTTGGTCTCCAGCAGGCCCACGCCCTGCTCTGATGTTCTTCAGAAATGAAACTGCAAAGCAAGTTAGTTTCATTTTACAAAGTGCACTGTAAAATTATGTATTTCTATGCATAGTCTCTGTACAAGCTAGTTATGAAGGAAATCCTTAAGTAAAATAATTAAACTTTGGAGGGTTTAATCTTTAACTAGATGTAAACTTTTTAATATCATCTTGAGTTATATAGGACAGAGTTTGGCATAGCTGCTCTTGGCTACAATTTTCTACTCCATTCCTGATCTTCTGATCTATATTTTACTTTGCTCTTGGAGCCTCATCACCAGAGCTGTCCACCTCCAGAAACACTCTACACTCTCTTTGTGGGAATGTTTCAATTTAAAAGAACCCTGCAGTCAGTGTAAGTTACATCTAGCAACATGTATATGAAAGCGGTGAGCTTTCTCATCCTTTCAGAATTGTTTTGTTAGAAACAGCTTATGTACACTTGAAAGTATATTCATTTTCATAGTCCTGATTAGTTTTTAGAATTAGTTTTAAAATATGGCCTTTAAAGAAAGTTGATGAAATATATCTTTAAAACCCATACCAGGGCTTCACTGAAAACTTCCACTTTTTATATCGGCAACTTGAAATAAGTCTTCATGAAGTTCTTTGATCCAGAGCTGTTAGATTCGTTGCCTTTTCTTGAGTTTGCAAGAGTCATGTTCCGGAAAGCACCTACAAGGAAGTAGAGATGTAGTCAGAACAGACCTAGTCCTGAGACATATATGTTGAGAATCTGTTACATCAAAAAAAATTATGACTCAGCAAATTAAAATGCAAGTGGTTGGACTGTTGCTTAGGAATTGTTTATGGGACATCTTTTCCTCTAAACTTTCTACTTTGAAATTTTTCAAACATACATAAGATTGGAAAGAGCAGTGAAAGGAACATCCTTCACCTAGCACATCTCTTCTATATTAAATATTTTTAATAAAATCAATAAGCAATCACAAAAATGTTGCGGGCATTCTTTCTTTCTTTCTCTTCTTCTACATTCTACGTTCAATGTGGAGCAAATCCTATAAGCTGTATCTTCAAAACCTGCCCAGCATCTGACCACTGACCACCACCTCACTGCTGCCACCCGGTCCAAGCCCCCATCTTCTCTTCCTGGGTTAGGGGAGTTGCACCCTCACTAGTTTCTCTCTTGCTTTTATTGATCCCTTTGGGAACAGCTCAAAATAGCAGCCTGAGCGAGTCTGTTCAAATGTAAATAACAGACCAACATTCTGTTCAATCCCTCCCAATGGCTTTGCATTTGACTCAGAGTGAAGCCGAGCTCATTATGAACTAACAGGTGCCTTACATAACCTGGCATCCTGTTACTCCTTCTTTCTTTTATTTCTCTCTATATATCTGGTCCAGCCCCCTGATTTCCTTGTTGCTTAACACAGGCAGTGCCTGCTCCTGCTTTGGGAACCTCACTTGTTTCCTCCCCCTAGAATGTCCTTAGACACTTGCACAGCTCACGGCCACCACGCATCCCTCAGGTTTTTTATCAAATGACACCTTCTCACTGAGGCAATGCTTGGCCAGCCTACAGAAAACTGTAAATCATCTTCCAACATTTCCTCTTCCTCTTTCGGCTTTAAAAAGATCTACTTAGGACTAATCACAAGCAAATATTCCACATGTTTTTAACTATTTTCTGTCTCGCTCGTTATTCTGTGAGCTTTATGAGAACAAGAGCTTTTGTACATCTTGTTCACTATTTTACAGTGCCTAGCACATAGTAAGCTTCTTAACTAAAATTTGTTGAGTGAATAACATAGTTTCTTAGAGTAGTTAAAAATAATAAATTTTTGGAAACCCCTGAGTTTGCAATGTCTGTAAGTCAAAGGACTAGGGCACTTATTTCATTTGGCTTAAATTCCAGACAAAAATCTGAAGAAATCTCTTCTGTGCTACCCCTTAGGCCAGAACTAACTCTAACTTCAATCATCTGGTAACACAGAATGAAAAGGAAGTTTTATCAAAAGGAAAGGAACATTAATAAACATTTCTCCTGCAGTCCTTCTCATGTCCATATCAGTTTTCTGTTATGTCCCTACATGAGGCCATGCATGACTCATACCTGTTTTCCCCAGAAGAGGCCCCTTCCTGCTCTAGGTGCCCTGTGTCACAGCCTCAGCACCTCTGCTGTTTTCATCTGCTGCCCCTGCTCCGGGAACTGATCTTGGGGAGGGCTTTCCCCTTTCCGCAGGCTCACTCCTCAGGTCTGATGATGCACTACCTTCCCTTAGAGTCCTCTTTCAGTGATTTAACCATCCACCCTCTCTCTGAATATCCTAAAAATTGAGAGGGCAGAGTCCAGATTTTCTCTGTGGGTTAGCCAGTGATTATTACAATATTCAACTGGGGCTCAAATGAAGCAGCACATCAGGAAATTTCCACTGTAGTCCGTCCCTTTTTCTTATAGCTCTTTGGCTTGTACACAGCTAGTGGCTCATTGTGTGCTACATCTAATGTAGGGGACGCTACAAGGGGAACTTGGTGCCATCTGATAGGTGACAGTGTCATTTCACTTCCTGTTAATCAGATTCTGCTAATAGATACCAGGGAGATAGAAATCCTCTTCTCTAATAAGGTCACTGACATTCATTCCTCCAAATATGGAGCTTTCTTTCTGTTACAAGGAAAAATCTCAATATAATATACTCAACTCTTTAATAACGGCCTTGGACTGATAATAATGTCAAAAGTTTCTCAACTTCCTTCCCCCACACATGGTAACAGTTGTGAACATATAATAATTTGAAGCTATTATATTTAATAATGCTTTTCCAATAATTTGTCAACTTTAAGAGAATCTGCATAAATAGTGTTGGACCGAAGTAAAAATAAAAATTACTATGACTGGTGTGGAAAAATATTGCCAATGACTTGACATAACTCATGGTTTTCCAGGAGCCCTCAGCCTCCTGCTTTGAAACAATCATGAACATAAATCTTAGTAGCAGTAGTAGTAGTAACATTAATTACTGGCAAAGCAGCAACAGGATGCCATTCTCGAGTGGTTAGTTGTCTCTCTTTAGTATTACAGGATAAGTACCAAGTTAGCAGAGCTCTTAGGGACAAGTGCTGGTACCCACCCACCCTCACCTCAGGGGGGTCCTCAGTAGCCCCCAGATAGCTATGCGCTGAGGCGTTCTGCTCTGCAGGACTCTGAATTGGTAGGGGAAGGACACTTGGAAGGCCTGGCTCTCTCCCAGGACTGCAGAGAAACTGCCGCAAACAAGTTAAGTTTCATTTCCTGAAGTTGTTTTTAACCAGATTCCTGCATGAGATGGATTTGAAGGAAACACTTCCATAGAAAAATAGCTTCTGCAGCTTATCGAATATAAAACTTTTAAGAACATTTAAGTTACTGAAGACAGAATTTTGCATAATTTCATGTAACCCCTGGTTGCTTTACATTCTTTTATGCTCAAATTTCTGAACTTCTTTACATTGTTTCTCCAATTCTTCTTTCCCGCTCCCTGCACAACCAGGAACACACTCATCACCCGAAGTACACTTAAAAAGTTAGCCTCAGCCCTAGCTGGTGTGACTCAGTGATTAGAACATTAGCCTGCACATAGAAGGATCGTGGGCTCAATTCTGGGTCAAAGACACATACCCGGGTGGCAGGTTCAATCCCCATCCCTGCCAGGGCTCATTCAGGAGGCAACCAATCCACGTCTGTCTGTTGGTCTCTCTTTCTCCCTCTCTCTTTCTTTTTCTCCCTCTCCCCCCCCCCTTCCACTCTCTAAAAATCAATGGAAAAATATCTTCCTGTGAGAATTAACAATTAAATATATCAATGTGTATTTTGTCCATTCATATTTACAATCAATTTCAGTATTTTTACAAGTATAAACACACGTGTTTATATAAAAAGTACAGCTGGAGTTGTTGTGTTTTTTTTTTAAAGCTGTCCCTTCATAAGCATAAAATAAAGTTTGAATCAACAACTTACCAGGATTTTCCTGAAAACTTCCTTTTTATATAAGAAACAGTTGCTTTCAACCTTTGTTTTCTTACTCCTCTTCTGATGACTAGGAGACATATAATTGTGAGGATCTTTTTAAAAAAAAACAACAACGAAATTAAGCCCAAGAGGTGACGTTTTCTGGTCTCCCAGTGCTATGCCTCTTCCTGAGGACGTGACAGATGCAGGGTGGAGGCAGAATGAGGAAAGGAGCAAAAGAGGAAACAGGACTGCCGGCAGTTTCAGTTTTGCTTGAGAACGTATTTGTTTGGGTTTTGAAGAATATTAAATATTTTTAAATGACATGGCAAAAATTCTCAATGAATTGGAACAATTGCTTAGAAACTACTATTTGTTATGCCCAGATTTCAGGATCCCCAAAAGACCACCAGGGAGCCAGCCGAGTCCGATGCAAAAGCAAAGAGTCTTTATTCGAGCTAGCTTGGCTCCCCGACCACACTCACCGACACAGCAGCAAGCGGCAGAGAGAGCTAGCCCTGTGCAAAGAGGGGTTTTATAGGGGGTTGGAGTAAGGGGAGGAGAAAGGACTGTGGGCCCTGCCGATTGGCCAGGCGAAAGTCGGTGTCTTGTTACACAGGATGTGGTCATATCTATGGCGCGCACTTCCCTTGATTGTTATTGGTTAGTTTAAGGAAATCCTGGGTGTGGCTAGCAGAGGCTTGGGCTTCCGGGGAGAAGCTCCTTGCCGAGCACATGGCTGCCCAAAAATGGAGGATCCAGGGTAAGATGGAGGGCGTAGCCCTTACCCTGGGGCAAGATGGAGGGCATAGCCCTCGCCCTTTCACTATTCACCAGACAGAATTTTAAGTCATAAGAATAAGAAACAGGCTCCGTGGGGGTGGGGGGTGAGGGTGGGGGAAGCTGCAGAAAAAAGAAAACAGAAATACCAAGAGAAAATTCAAATCTCAGTATAATCTGAGTATCTGTCTTGGGGTGAATTGTGTTCCTCAAAACTCATATTGAAGTCCTAATCCTTTGTACCTCAGCATATGATTGTATTTGGAGATAGGGTCTTTAATTTAGGTAAAGTGAGATTATTAGGGTGGATCCTAATCCAATATTGAAACAGGAATTTTAGGGGTAAGATAGGACAGGTTTAGGAAATTTTAGAAATTTTGTAAATTAAGGGGACCATGAAGGAAGCACAGAGCTGCAGAGCAGCAGATGGTATACTTCCATAGAATGGGAGAGCTGGGAACAGGAAAAGGTCTGTATTTACAAAATAAAGATAAGGAGGCCTTTCATCCAGAAGGAGAGGAAGAAAGCCCAAAGGTAATCGGAAAACGATAAGGAAGGAGGAGGTGGGGGGCGAGAGAACCTTACATGTCCCAGGTGAGGTTCGACCTTTGAACCCAGGAGTTACTATAGTAACCAGTCTAAGGGAATAGTGGCCAATATTCAAAAAAGAAAAAGAAGTGGCTTTCAACCCAGACTCCACTTAACATCATCTGGGGAATTTTCAAAGAAGCATATGCATAGGACCTCTAGTAGACAGGCATATATCTCTAGGAAAAGGACCAAGCTTCAGTGATTTATTTATTTATGTTTTAATCCTCACCGGAGAACATTCTTTCCATTGATTTTTAGAGAGAGTGGAAGAGAGGGAGGGAAGCAGATGGCATGGGAGGGGAGAGAGAGAGAGAGAGAGAGAGAAAGAAAGAGAAAGAAAGAAAGAAACAGAGAAACATCCATATAAGAGGGGACATCAAGGCACCAGGATCTGCAGCCTTCGTAAGCCATAGGGAAGAGGAACTCAGCAGGACTCTTTCCCCCTCCCTATTTGGGAGTCCATTCTGTGGGACTCTTTCCCTCTCCCCATGTGGGAGTCTGTACTTGTTCTTCAATAAATCTCCACCTTTGCTATACCACTTTCTGTCCGTGGATTCATTCTTCAATTCTGGTGGACAAAGAATCCAGGTTCCAGTCCAAAAATTCTGTATCCATATGATTGGTGTCCTTGTAAGAAGAGACTAGGACACGCAGGCAGAAAGACCAGGTGAGGACACAGGAGTGATATCTAATCTGTAAGCCAAGGAGAGAGAGGCTTCCGAAGAAACAACCCTGCCTCACCTTCATCTCAGACTTCTGGCCTCTAGAATTGTGAGGAAATAGTACATTTCTGATTTTTAACCCGCCCAGTCTGTGGCTCGTTAGCCCTAGCAAACTAATATAGTGCCCCTAAAGTCTTGTGTGTGTGCTGAATCACCATTTATTTCATTATCTTTTGAAAAGTAAAACATTTTTTCCATTATGAATATGAGTTCATTCAAACTTAAGATATACAGAATATACAAAGAAGGGGGAAGAAAACCAGAGTATCCAAGCACGATCTCCATTTTCCATTATTTAGTTTCTTTCATTTTTTCTATACATACATTTACAAATATATAAATTTAATATTTAGAAACTTTAACAGATGCTGAAGCTTACCGTATAACTTCAAATAGGCAATGTATACTGCCCAGGAATCTACAGTTCTTTATTAAGTTTTGTCTCCCTCTCTGAATAAGTATATTCATAATTCTTTGCTTCCCACCCCTCTAACATTTTGACCACCATCACTCTCACCTGATGACATTTCTTTCTACCTAAAGGACAAAATTGAAACCCTCAAATGGGCTTTCTCACATGCTCCATTCTCCAGGTCTTCAAACTCACCTGCACCCCTACATTCCACTCTTAATTTGTCCCTAATAAGAAGTGACTCTCGCCCTGGCTGGTATTTCTCAGTGGTTAGAGCATCAGCCGGGCACCAAAGGGCAGGTACCTGGTTGCAAGTTCACTCCCCGCTTTTAGTTGGGCACCTGCAGGAGGCAAGGAGTTGATGTGTCTCTCTTACATCCATGTTTCTCTCTCTCCCTCCCACCTTCCCTCTCTTCCACTCTCTCTCTGAAAACAATGGGGAAAAAAAATATATCCTCAGGTGAGATTTAAAAAAAAAAGAAAGAAAAAGAAGTGGCTCTCAACCCAGACTCCACTTATCATCTGGGGAATTCTCAAAGAAGCACATGCATAGGACCTCTAGTAGACAGGCATATATCTCTAGGAAAAGGACCAAGCATCAGTGATTTATTTATTTATGTTTTAATCCTCACCGGAGAACATTCTTTCCATTGATTTTTAGAGAGAGTGGGGTGGGGGGCGGGAGAGAGATAGAGAGAAACATCCATGTAAGAGAGGCACATTGATTGGTTACCTCCCGCACGTGCTTTGACAGGGCCAGGGATGGAAGGAACCTGCAACACAAGTACATGCCCTTCACCAGGAATCTAACCCCTGACGCTTCAGTCCTGGGGCTGGCACTCTAACCACTGAGCTACACCAGCCAGGGCAAGCATCATTAATTTTTAAAATATCTCTAAGCATTGCCAGGGCAAGAACATTTGGAATAAAATAAATGAACTCTCTTCCTCTTCTCCTTTCTTACCTTCCTTTTCCTTTTCTTCCATTTTTCAAACAACTCAATCCTAAAAACCACTATATGGTAGGTATCTGGTGGAAGGGAGGGGGAGTCTAAGTGGCCCAGAACAGGGCCCACGATGGTGGCTCTTCAGAGGGGTGGTCTCAGGTGGGGAGTCAGAAGCTGGACAGTGTGAAAATAGTATCCACCTTGCAGGGGTGACCAGTGTGGAGAATCAGAGCCTGAGGAAGGTGAGGAGGGGGAAACCTGGTATGGGGTGTCAGAGCTCAAGCACCATGTGCAAGGTGTCTGTTCCACCTCTATGGGAACGTATGCACAGGTGACCCAGTTCGCCTCATTTGGATATACCAATACAGACGTCAAAGGGTACTTTCTTATTTAGGCTGAGCTTAAACCAAAACTAAGAAGAGAGGAGACACAGGAGACAAACAGAGTGCAAGAATCACACAGGTTTATTTACCAGAGAGCTGATGGGTTTCAGTCCTTGGCAGGCCACCCGGAGACACTCGCTGACAGAGACACACGGAGGTCGTCAGATACGCAGCTGCAGGTGCTCAGTCTCTTGACACGAAGAGAGGCCTCTAACAATCTGGGCTCAGGGCAGAGCAGGAGTGGCAGAAGTTCCAGGGGTAAGGAGGACGTCTCGTCTGTGGAGGGCAGACAGGCGTCTGGCTGCTGGTGTGAGGGTCCTTTTTTTATACCCGATGGATGGGCTTCTTCAGTGTCTCATATCAGTGTGCTCCGGTGGTGCCTTCTGGACTTATCGGGATACACACGCAGGGGGTTACAAGGTACTTATGAGGAGTGCACACACAGGGAGCTACAAAGTACTTATCAGGGTCACACACACAGGGGGCTACAAAGTACTTATCAGGGTAACACACACAAGTTAAGTTTCACTTCTAAGTAAAGTTAAAATTCACTCTAATACAAAATGGAGCTTGCTTATGCTAACCTATACTAATACAAAATGGAGTTTGCTTATGCTAACTTATACTAACTAAACTTATTACTATAACAGTGTCTACATGGAGGGCTGGCCTGGTGTGGGATATCAGAGTCCAGGCAGAATAAGAAGGTGTCCCTCTGGGAGAGTAGTCTGAAATGAAGAGTGTCGATACAAAAATTGTACTGGACAAAGTTAAAGAGGCCAGGAAAACTTTATTCAAGACAATGGCACTAGCAGGGGAGGGAGACTGAACTCAACTGAAGAAAGCAAAAGGTATGAAGGTTTTTAAGCTATGGGGTGAGCTAATGGAAAAATATGGAACTACAGGGGAAAGGTTGGTCAATGGGCTGTGTGGAGCACATTGAGTAACTCCTGAGTTTGCAGATGTTTTTCTCTGTGTGTAGGCCCTCTGGGTTTGCTAGTTGACACCCATCTAAGTTAGGCTTCCACTTTCCCACAGAGACTGGGAGGCAGGGGTGCTATCTTTTTTTGATGTCTACATTTCAAAGACATGGTTCCCTGGTGCTTGAGAAAGACAATCCTGGGTTGTAAAACTGGCAACAGGCTGGGAGAATATTTACATACATTTTAAAGAGGCAGAGAAAGAATTTGCAATTACAGATTTTCTAAAGAAACGGGAGGCATTTGGGAGACACTGCAACCGTGCCTATGGCTAGGAAGAAGCCTGTACAAAGTTTAGTCAAGCTGAGGGGACCAGTAAGGCCATCAGAGCTGGAGGAGGAGAGGGTGGCATCTGCATCGGCAGGGAATGGCAGCATTGAGGTGGGAGGCTGATTACATAGGAATTAATCAAATAAGGAATTATATTTAAAACTGATTTATTTTTTTGTAATCCTCACCTGAGGATATTTTTCCATTGATTTTTAGAGAGAGTGGAAGAGAGAGGGAAAGACAGAGAGAAATATGGATGTGAGAGAAACACATCGATTGGTTGTGTGCCCCGACCAGGGCCCGAGCCAGGAAGAAGCCTGCAACCAAGGTCCTGCCCTTGACCAGAATTGAGCCGGGGACGCTTCAGTCCACAGGCCAACACTCTCTCCACTGAGCCAAACCAGGTAGGGCTAAAGCTGATTTCTTTATTAGAGAAGTGGGTTATAAATATGGAAAGAGAGTAACTTATGGTATGCTACTACAATTGGAGATATCAGTGTGAACTCATGGTTTTCAAAGTAGGTAACTTCCAGATAAAAGGCTAAGAAGCTAAGTGTCCAACCCTCAGGGTAATGACTTCAAGTAGTAACACCTGACTTCCTCTCCCTAGCAATTACTAGCCTTAGGTAGAAACACTTTAACACTGTAACCAAATGTCTGTGAAGCGTTTTCCCATGCCTCATCTCATTTGATCCTCATAGAAGTCGTGGAGTAGGTAGATAGGAGACTCAGTGGAATCCTATTTTCTTTTCATTAGCCAGAAAACAGAGATTTAGAAAGCTTAGAAACTTGACCCACCTGAAAAGAAGTAAGAAATGGTGGACCTTGAAAATGACTTCAGGTTTTCTCACTGCACACAATGCTACAGTTAAATATTTTACCCTTTGTTCTCCCTGCATGATCTACAATGATAATGTACTTCGTGTTGATATTTACTGCTGTGTTGCTGACAATTACCTGAAAGAGAAGTTGGGGTGCTTCACTGGACTGGTAAAAGTTTAGCTACATCAGAAGCAGGTCTAATTAAACAAGTTTGTTCTATATCTATAAAAGGCTAAGTTGACTCGCCCATGTGCGATACATATAAAGCTCTCACTGGCGCCAATTGCACATGTGTGTTTCGATCTGTCATTGTCGATCTTGAATTTGGTTGTTTTTGTTGACATTCTGAAGCTGAAAGAAAGTGGTGGCATTGCACGGAAGTAACAGTAGCAATTAAATATGATCGTAATAGTGATCTAGGTAGATATAATTTTCTTCATGTAACTGAAGTTGCCGTCATATTCAGAAACAAAGATGGGGACCTCCTTTTGAAAGGGTCTTGCTCATTCACTGTAAACCAGATCCCAATAATCTGAATGCCACTAAAATGAAACAAATCAGTATCCTGTTTCCTACGTTAGGTGCAATGACGTATCCTATTCTTTTCCCACATGGTGAAAAAGGCTGGGAACAGATATTGCATTGATACTCAGAGATGACAGGGTAATCAACAATACTAGATTCAATGGATAATGCCAAAAAGGAAAATTTTCCCATTGAATTTCTTGAAAGGATTACTCCTTCGGAAATGCCATGTCATAAATTAGAATTGAAGGTGTTATAATGTATATCAGCGAACTTAACAGAAGATGCCTTATGAGCCAATTAATTTGGAGTCTTTTATTAAGCTGGTGGGCTCAGAGGAATATTGCTTCTCAAATTCTGAGCAAACTATGGAGGAAGTTTTCCCTCTTTATCTCTTTCCAGCCCTTTGTCTCCCAAATAAGTTTTTTTCTGGATCTTCTGCAGACTTTACAAAGAGCTCTGTGTAAGTTATTTTTGCAGGCAGCTTTTAACCTTGAGCACATAACTAACAAACACCTGGCATGAGAATATGAAAGTATTATCAGTATCAGTCTCTCACGTTAGATGGCTAGCCTGCAAGGTCAGGTAGCTAAGTTTATCTTCTCTATTATTCAAGCAAGCTAAAAAGCAAAGTTATTTTAAAGAATAAGGGATCATCTAAAATAACAGAGTTGAGCCCTAGCTGGTTTTGCTCAGTGGATAGAGCATCAGCCTGCGGACTGAAAGATCCCGGGTTTGATTCCGGCCAAGGGCACATGCCTGGGTTGTGGGCTTGATCCCCAGAAGAGGGCGAGCAGGAGGCAGCCGATCAATGACTCTCTCATCATTGATGTTTCTATCTCTCTCTTCCTCTCCCTTATTCTCTGAAATCAATAAAAATATGTTGTTTAAAATAACAGAGTTGACTTACAGAACAAGGGACTATCTAAAAATAGCAGAGAATTTCAAACAGCAGTTTCAAACAGCAGTTTAGCAAAGTAGGGATTATTATGCTTCAAAAGTAGGTGCAATCATCATGCTACTGAGAAATCTTAATAGTAAATGGGGTCTTTGTAATACTACTAGATTTATTATTAAAAGATTGTGATTTAACATAATTGAAGCTGAAGTATTAACAGGATTTGCGGAGGAGAGATTGTTCTGATTTCAAGAATTGAGCCCTAACCAGTTTGGCTCAGTGGATAAAGCGTCCACCTGCGGACTCAAGGGTCCCAGGTTCGATTCCAGTCAAGGGCATGTACCTTGGTTGTGGTGGGGTCTTTGTAATGGCACTAGATTTATTATCATAAGGTTTCAACCTAACATAATTAAAGCTGAAGTACTAACAGGATCTGCGGAAGAAGAGGTTGTTCTGATTCCAAGAATTGATTTGTTCCCATCTGACACTGGCCTCAGTGTTAGAATAAGTTTAATCAATTTATCAGTCATTGTTTTTATCAATGTTGTTTTTATATCATATTTTTGTTATTTTATATCATGTCTTTGTTATGTCATGTTGTTATTGTTACGTTGTTATTGTTTATTAGTCAATTTATATATTATTTTCATATCTATTTTACTAATTTTCTTTCATCTCTGACACTTCTATTATAAAGAAAGGGCAAATAGTGATATTAAATATTTCTTCTAATTCATTTCCTTTCAGTGTGCACTGGGCCACTAGTAGAAATATAGTGTTCCTAGGAATAAAATGCATAGGCAGTCAAAAACCATGCTAAGTATGACAAGTATAACCAAACTCACATAATTAAAAAGATCAAGAGCTGGAGAGCAGATGTCAGTGACCACCTTAGAAAATTATGTTCCCTCAGCTACTTTGGAGATCTAACCCTACTTAGAGATCTAGAGCCCTTTCTCTTGATGAAGGCCCTGCAATATCATAGCAGGTAAATATGATATGGTTCTCATAATACCTTTATTCATATCATCTGTATGGTTCCTATAAAAGTAGATGAATCAAGCATACAGGGGTGGACTACCATAAGCTTAACTAAGTGGTAGTCCCAACTGTAGCTGCTCTGCCAGATACGGTATCTTGACTGCAACTGACCAACACAACCTCTGGGACTTGATATGCAGCTACTGGTTAGTGTATTCCTTTCAATCTCTATCACTAACAATAATAAAAACAGTTTGCTTTTTATAGTGGGAGGAGAGCATTACATATGTATTTGCTGCAGGGCTACAGTAAGTCTTTTAATGAAGTCTGCAAGGACCTGGATCATGTTTATATGCCACAGAACATCATACTTGTCCACTGTATTGGATGACATCATGCTAATTGGACTTAGTATACAGGAAATGGCAAGCACTCTGAATTCCTTAGTAAGACAAACACACCAGAGAGTAGAAGATACACCACACCAATTCAGGGGTCTGTCACATCAGCGACATTTTTAGGGATCTCATGTTCTATGGAGTCTAGAGGAAGAAGGAGCTCTGCAGAAGATCCAATCTGTGGTGCATGCTGTTCTGCTATTCAAGCCATATGGCCCGGCAGATCCCAGGTATTCATCATGGAGTCCCTAGAAAGGCATGAGATGAGAGACACATGGCAGATTCCCCAAGAATCTGGAGCGATGATAGGATTTTTATGGCAAACAACTACTTGTTAGAAAAGAGCATTAGAAGACACTGACTGCATCACCACGGGGTATCAAGTGATTATGTGACTAGAGTTTCACATTGACATCTATACATTATCAGATTTAATGAATCATAAAGTCAAGTCGGTGCGACAGGTGGAATGCTGCATTCAGATCATAGCTGAGCAAGTCCAGAGGTCACAAGCAATTACAGAAAGAGGTGACTCAGAATGCCACATCATTTGTCTCATATACAGTC